GTATCTAATCCTGCTTCGGGGCCCAAGAAAAAAAAATGCTGCTAGAATAAAGGCACCATCTGTGCCTATGAACTCTGGCAGGGACCAGGCACAGTTTTGGAACCAGAAGGGTTGACTAGAGCGATGTGCAAGTGAGTCTCCAGGCCTGCTGCCCTGTGAAGCCTCCTTTGGCAGGAGAGGCCTCCCTTTGCACAGCTTCCCAAGCAGGCAGCGCCTCCAACACGCTGCTGAGAGCAGCTCTGCTCCCTGGGGCTCCTGCTCCGACAGCAGAGATAATGAGGTTACCAGCTCGGAGAGCCGCCCCTGCAGCTGCAGGCCTCTGGCTGCCAGCCTGCACACTTGGAGCCTTCCAGTGACAGCTGTGGTTCCCCGGCTGTCGGAGGACATTTGTCACAAGACCTGGTGGGCAGGCAGGAGGGCCCCAGGCAGCTGGCCAGATGCTGCCAAGATCGGCCTTGCCCTAGGTTTCTAAGCCATTCTCCAGCTTTGCTATTTCCTTTCTCTCCCTCAAATTGGAACGGTTGATTTTTTTTTTTTTTTCCCATCAGCTTCCCTGCTTTGGTTCGTGGCACACAAAGCTGGTTTCCCAGCTGATTAGAAAAGCAGGGCTTTTGGGGCGCCTGGAGGCATCCTGCAGTAACAAGCTGAGCAAAGGGGAGAGTGGCAGTCACCTTCACAAATGGTAGCCAAGGTCAGCAGGGGAGGCAATTCCTAGTCATGGTGCACTCTAGAGAGGGCAGGAGCTGCCCATCCCTGTGGAGGAAAGGTGGTCTTTTTCTCAAAACGGGGCAAGCAGGTGTGATCCTGCGGGATGGTGGGCCTGTTCCAGCCTAACTACCCACCTCTTATCGCCGCATCATACTGGCCCACTGCAGGGGCGCCAACCCCAGCAGACAGATGGGTTCAGACTCTTCCATCTGAAAGAGCCTTCCCAGTCTAATCTGACCTTGGCCTCTGCCAAGGGCACAGAACCCTAGGGCCAAACCCTTCCCATAATGGACTAGAACCCACAATCCCAGTTCTCACAATTCCTCGGGAAGTTTCCTGGAAGGGTTGGGGCAGTTAGTACATGGCCAGGTAAAGGCAATTCCACTTAAGAATAGACAGCATTTGCCACTTTCTTGAAAGCTTATGCATCTGGAGCTCACTCACTCAGTGAGGAGGGCACAGGGATCGAGCGGCTGAGTGTTTTTCTTCCCTGGGCCTCAGTTTCCCCAACTGAAAACAGCAGGAGTTGAATAGGGGAGAGGACGCATTACCCTGTGAGTCTGGATCTTTGGCCAGAGAGTCTGGTGCATCCCAAGGTGGGGTGAGGGGACTTTGACATTCTCTCCCTGTACAGTTCACATCACAGATGTTTGGCTCTCAAGGAGCAGCAAACCCTACAAAGACCTATTGTTTGGGACAAGTGGAATTCCACGTGAGTATTCTGGCCCTTCCCTTTGCCCCTCCAAGGACAAAGCTAATCTGCTTCTCAAGGACAAAGGGCAACATGTGGCCTCCTGCCCTCTGGTCTCTCCATCTAAGCCAGTTTTGTGGTAGAGGCACACATACTATTTGTCCCACTTTTAAAGATGAAGAAACAGAGGCCAGGCAGGGGAACCAATTCCCATGAAGCAGGAACAGGTTGTTGCGATGCTGTTTGCATGGTTCCTTGTGCCCAGTGAGTGGTTTTGCTCAAGTAGCAGGCAGGCCCCAGCCTGGGATATGGGGTGACTGGCACCCTCTACTCTCCCTCAGGGTTGATAATTCATAGTGGTCCACTGTCCCCTGGTCTGCCCGCGTGCTTTCTTGAGGTCTCCTACTCTCCTGATGCTGGGTAAATGGGGGGACAATGGTGAGGTGGTAGGGAAAGAAAAAGTATGCTCTGAGTGCTTACCTGTTCTGCTCTGAGTCCTGCGGGGAGATACCCAAGTCCCAGTCCATGTCCTTAGATGGTTGCTCTAGGACCCAGAACAGAAGTAGAGATTAGGGCAGAGCCAGCAACTGGGCTCTCCACTGCCACATAATGAATGTCAAGGAGAAAAGTTTCTCCAGAAGCCATTTACTTCACAGATAAGCCCGCCCCTCTCCTCTGCCTGTGTCTCAGCCTGAGAGATGGAGGCACAGCCTGTAATGGTGGCTGTGTGGGCCTTGTCACGGGCTAAGGGCCTACATGGGTCCTCTCGGAAATGGGTGAGGAATGAACTTTTGGAATGGGAAGGAAAGAAGGGACAGAAGGTTTCTTCTCAAGCCTGAACACTTGCACATCCAGTGGTGCTACCGCCTGAGTTCAGTCCACCTGACAAGATGCTTGACCACTTTGTGGGGTGGGGTCCACCGGGGGGTGAGGGCATGTCACTGGAGAGAGATGCAAAGAGCCACTCTAGAAAAGGCCACATGCCACAGGAAAGAAGCTGCCACCCCCAAGCACAGATGGTGGCCTCCCATTGGCCTGTGGAGTCATGGGGGTGCTCAGCAGATGGGGATGGTTGTGAAGTGGTAAAGAATCTATATCAAAGCCAAGAATAAGTGGACATCCTGATGATCTTGGAGACAAGCAACTGTGCTCTCCTCCCTCTCCCACCCCAGCCCCTCCACGTACCCCCTTCTGCCTTTCCCTCTGGACTCCCTCCTGCTGCCCCCACCACCTAAACCTACAGAGTGAGCCTTACCTGGTACAGCTCTGTCCCAGGATGGAGTCCAAGCTTGGATTTCCACCTTGGGGGGAGCTTGCCCCCCAAGAGTTAGCATCTCCTGCAGAAGAAGGCGGTTCCTCTCCACCTGTTCAGATAGGGGCAATGGGCTGTGCCCAGTGCCCAGAGCCCCCAGGTCTCCAGCTCTCCAAAGCCCTCCCAGCAGGGCTGGCCTGGGGACAAAGTCCTCCTCAGAGGTCAGAGACAAACTGTCCAGGTCTCCCCCTGTGACTAGATCATCCTGAAGGGGGCATGACCTTCCTTTCCTCAGGCTGGGCATGTGGGTGATTTTGTTACAAGGTCTAGGGCCCCTAGGTCGGCCTGGAGTGACTCTGTGGATGGGGCTCTCTTGTGAAGAGGCAGGCCCTGGTAGCAGACTCCTCTCATGGTCAGGCAGTATCCATACTGTTTCTGGAATCCACGGGCTCCTCCCATTATAACACTCAAGCCCAGGGGCAGGAGGTCTGGGAGGTCTGGGGCTCCCATTCCTGGCAGGCTCCTCCTTATTGACACTGTGGTCCAGCTGTCCTTCGTTCAGGTTCTGAGCATGGAGGACCACACCAGCATCTGGCAAGGGAGTCCCTGCTGACAGAGTCCTGGCTCCACCCACCTTGACTCGTCGGTATTTGGGTTTCTTGGGGGATGGCCACTCATGCATAGTGAGGCAGGGGCTTGCTCCCTGTTTGCCTGCTGTCATATTTTCCTTCAAGGCCCTGACCTTGGACTCTAACACGGAGGGTCCTTGGGGCTGTAACCCCCATGCCCTGGGAGGGTGGGGGGCCATCAGGCTGGGTGTTCTGTCTTCCTGAGGACAGGGCCAGGGTCTTGGAAGGTGTCCATTATTGGGCTGTGACTCAGTGCCACTTCTCTCCACAGCTGTCACCTCCATGAAGCTGGCTGTTCTGCTTCCTATTTTGGGCTCTCTGGAAAATAAAACAGGCAGAGCTCCTTAGACCCAGTACCTGGCTAGTTCCAGCAACCTTTTGAGTCCCCAAAGTGCCTCCATATTGAGCCCTGCCCAGGCAAGAGTAATCTAGGAACAGAGCGAGGGATAACCTGTAGATAACGTTAAAGCGCTTTGAAAAGTACAAATCACCGGATGATACAAATAAGATATTACTGAATTTTTTTTTCCAAGTCTCAGCAGTGTTCTAGGTTTTCTATTCCTTTTACAGATGGTGCACAAGTGTCCAATGACAACTAATCCTTTGCCAGATGTGGACCAGAGTGAAAAGTCAGATCAGGTCTCCCAATCCTTGGGCCTCTTGCTTTCCTGACAGGTGATCTCAGTGAAGATCTGATATCACACAGCATCTCAGGATCTGACCCTCGAGTGGAAGGTACCCCATACACCTCACCCCCCTTGACACTCCCACCCTCCAGACCACAGGACCATAGCATGGTGCTGTGCTCCAAGGATGGCCATGATCAGTCACAAACTCCTACCAGCATCTGCTCTATGCCAGGCAGGCCCGCAAGTGCTTTCAAACATACTCTCTCTAATAACCCTCAAATGATTCAGCCAGAACAGCATTATCATCCTCATTTTTACAGATGGTGAAACTGAGGTACAGTGACATCATGTCACATAGGTGCTAAGGGGAGGCTGGTTTGCAATGTAAAGCTTCTTGTTCCAAAGCCAGGGCTCTTCCAAAGCACTCAGTGGTCACTTCACCCCACTCCCCTATTCTGTAGGTGAGAGTGATCTGGTCTAGAGTGGCTCAGTGACTTTCCAGCATGACACAGCTCCTTGGTGGCATGGTTTGATGTCGCTGTCTTTACAGAGAATGAAAGTGGTTTTATTCACCAAGTCGTTCTGTGCACCTATACAGGCCACATGCCTTAATATTTATCCTGCTCTCTGAGAAAATGTTCCCTCAGTATCACACATCTAGATATGTCCCACTTGAGGTAAAGTGTGCCTAAAAATCCGTATTTACATATATTACAAATTAGGTTATTCATTTCATATGCTGACTAAAAAAGTCATAGAAATTTCTTAAATGGCAAGTCCCTCTATAGCTGTTTATTACAATTCAATTTATACATGTTTCAGGCATGTACATGGTTCATGAAGTAAAATAAACATAGTGCAAAATATTGCATCACCTTTCAGCCAATGAAGTTTAAGGACAATCTTTAGAAGGCCGAGATCATTCGCTCTACCAGTTAATCTAGAATTTACCAACTTTCTCTTTGCAGCCCAGTCACGGGTTCCTCTTTTCTAAGGTTCAATACAGAGAACAGACGATTAGACTGTAATGGGAGCTGTTTCAGTTAAATTAAAACAAAACAAAACTTTCTGACCGGTAAACTCTGGACCTGTATTCCAGAGCTAATCCATCTGGGGAGACCTTTGGGAGGAGAACCTTTCAGTGGGGCACTGAGGGCGGCCTGGGGAGACAGACGGCGCTGCTTGGAGCCCTCCGATCCTGTGGTCCAAGTGCTGTATCTGCTGCAACTCAGAAAGGCTGAAGTGAAGATGGACACGGAGGGCGGCCTACCCGGCCCTTCCAGCTCCCTGCCCCGCGCCCGCCGCCCGGCCCCGGCCGCCTCGTACTCACTGAGGGCCGCTGCAGGCAGGCTTGGCCTCCGCCTCCTCCATCCCCTCCATCCCCGGGCCAGGGAGCCCTCCTCCGGCCCCCTCTCCTTCCCAGGCCCGGGGGCCAGGCTGCGCTCCCCGCTCGGCGGGCAGCCCCGGGCCCGGGT